TTCAGTTTCAGTAGGTTGAAAATGGTCTCCGTAGCTTCCCATAAGCAAATGGGAATATATGACTACAAAAGGAATAAAAATGAACTCATTTCTTATTTAAATTGGGAATAACAGATCAGGCCTGTAACTCTATCAATAATACTCTCAAGATATGATGGATGTGTTTCTGGAAGTCATTCTGGGTAAATAATTCCTTGCCCCAGCCCAGCTGGCATGATTCAGTAGTTGAGCTGTGACTTATGAACCAGGGGACATGGTTCAATTCCCAGTCAGGGCACATGCCCAGGGTTGCAGGCTCAATCCTCAGTGTGGGAAATATAGGAGGTAGCCAATCAATGATTCTCTCGCATCACTGATGTTTCTATGTCTCTCTCCTTCTCCCTTCCTCTCTGAAATCAATAAAGATATTTTAAAAAATAATAATTCCTTACCTCTTTATTCTCTTCATACTGGCTATCTACTTGATCTTCAAATTATCCCTCTTTTGCCCTTTATACCAGGAGTCCAAAATGAGAGGACTACAGGAAAATGTAACTGTGTACCATGACACAGCAAGGACATAAAGCTATGCAACCAAAACAAAGGATACAGTACTTTCCCAGCTTCAGGAGGCAATACTGATACATTTAGGCAGAACCAGTTTCATATTTGTGGGGACCAGTGCAAAATAAAAATACAGATCCCTTATTAAAAAATTATTCAGAATATCAAGACAGCAACAATGGAGCATTAAACCAAGTATGGGGCCCTCATATACGCAGGGCTCTGGAGATTGAACAGGTCACATGGCCCTGACGCTGGTCCTGTTCTAGGGACAGTATAGCATGGTCCTTTAGAAGAGCTTTAGAATCAACACTGGAGCTAAATCCCATCTTTGCCGCTCATTAATCATGTGATTTTGGGCAATTTACTTGGTCTCTCCATGCTTCTAAGAGGTTGTATGATTGTAATCCAGTATTGTGAGGATTAAGTGGGATAATGAATAGATGTATAGAAAGTGTTTAGCACAAGGTTAGCAATAAATGGAAGCTGTACTATTATTGTTCAATGAAATGCACAGATAATTATCAAAGCAGTACGTTTAAGAACTGAATTGCTGAACTGCTACTCAGGATATGAAAGAATGAGAATGCTATTTTAGGATAATTAAAATAATGAAGCAGGCAGGGAAGATCAAATCTTCCACCTTCTCTAACCACTTCCCTATTTCTCTTTTTCCTTTTATTGTCAAACATACAAAGGGTGACCTACATGCTATCTTCATTTCTTATCAGCATCTCCTGCCACAATCCTCTTTAATCAGGAGTTCAGTATCTCCACTGCCATCCCCTGCTGAATTTAAACTATTCTTTTCAAAAAGTTACAATGACTCCCTGTTTACTAAATATGATTAACCTCTCCCACTTTTTCTGTACAGTTTCATACTGCTGACCAATTCCTCCAGCTTGAAACCCTTTCTTTTTTGATTGCAGAGGTACTACACCTTCATGGCTAACAGCATGTCTAATCAGGTACCCAAAAGGTCATGAAGAGAATGCATTTGTTGGGTGAATAAATTAGATTATTCTTTTGCTTCTCAGAGTCCTTATTTTCTATTATACTGACCCCATTCCTCCTTCCTACCTGGCTAAATAAATGTGGGAAATCTCCAAACTTCAGCCCGTGGTCCCCTATACAATCGGTTCTATTTCTATACCACTGTTGAACTAAGCTAATCATATGGCTTCAATGATCACCTTCTGAATATAAGACGCCCTGACTTCTCTCCTTTGAACACTAGCCCCCACTTCCAAATACTTATGGGATGTGTCCACCTACAATTTCCTGTGTCACCTCAAGATATCTAGCACTTACTCCTCCACTTCTCCCCCAAACTGGCTTTCCTTTCTGTCTGTCCTATTTCTGTTAATCTTGTCACCCGTGTTCAAGGCTATATTTGATTCTTCCTTATTTGTTGTCCTCCATAACCAGTTAGTTACACTTCCTTTATAATACTTGTTGAACCCATCCCTTTTTATTTTCACAGACGTCACCCTAATTCAATTCCATATCCCCTCATGCCAGGCTATTTTAATAACTAACTGATTGTACAGTTCTCTTTCTATCCCTACTAAAGTTTATTCTCCACACTGTTGAGAATCTTCTTAAAATACTACTTCCATGACCTCACATTTCCCTAACCAATCATCTTTAGACTTCCCATCATACAGGATAAAGTCCTAACTCTTTAGTTTGGCACCAATGCCTATTAAAATCTGGCTTCAACCAACCCTTCCAATCCTACAATTCTACTTAAACCTTCTGATCTTGTCAGATTGGTCAGTCGGATCAATTGGCCTCTGAAAACTTTCTTCCACATTCCAGCCCTATGTTTTATGAATGTTATTTTCCCTGTCTGAAATCCCATCCACATTCATTCTCTTTATATAACAAAATTCACCATGTTGGTGGAAAAAGCCTTCCTTGATAATCAGAGACCATAATGACCTTTCTCTTTTTACAACTCCTATAATACCACAGTTAGCACTTTGAAAATTTACTTCATTTCTGCTTTACCTGTGTGATTTCATTCACTCTTCACAACTATATGAAAGGTAGGTAACATTAGTACATATGAAAAAATGAAGTCCAATAACTTGCCCAAGTCACATAGCAGGTAACTGGTAGAAATGGGAACTGAATCCTCATTTAGCTCTGTCATTTTCCTGTCTCTTCCAGAGCACGGATACGGCACAGTATTTGCACACAAGCAGGAACTTGGTAAATAAGTTGATTGAGAAGACAGTTTAAATAGCAACGCTGGTGACAGAATTGACCATCTTAACAGTGCACATTAGGTGTTACTGCCCCAAGGTCACCTTCTTTACACAGCTTGATCTGTAGTATAGTTCAAGACAGAGATTTGCCAAAAATTCACCACAATCCATTCTAAAAATAAATTTTGGTTTGAGCAAAGCTAAAAAAGTCCTTGATCTGATTCAAACAGGTGAGTTTGGGGGATGAGGTCCACTTTACTACCTCTGGATCCATCCATGTTGTTTGTAAATGATCAGAAAGTAAAAACAGGCCGGCTAGTTGATGGCTTAGAGGGTAAAATGGACCACTTATAGTTCTAGAGGTGGACACTAAGGCAGCAGAACAGGATTTTCTTGGCTCAGATGGCGAAAGACCTCAGTAAAACAAGCTCAATGAAAGTGAATCATGGGTGGAAACAGATCAGAAGTGGGTAACAGTAAGGAGGGAGAGAGAACAGAAGAGAGAAGTACTGAAAATACTCCTAGAGATGGTGCTGTCCTTTTCCACACAGTTGCCGGAAGCTGCCCTGCCCTGCACGGCTGGTGCCATGTAACAGCAGGCTCTATCATTTCTGCCTGGTTCCTGGTGTCAGTTCTCAGCTGCTTGCCCTGACCCACACCACAGTCCAGACCTTCTCTTGCCTCAGATTCTTTTAGCTTCTGATCTAATCACTCATTTCCCCGGGTCTCACAATTTGACCAAATGCAGATTTCACATTCAGCACTGCCTCCCTGGTCATGACCTTTACTTTCCTCTTACTGTATGAGTTAGACTGCCCTCCCAGATGATGCCTGTAATGCCACACATGCTGCCCAGTTCTCAAGCGCTCTTCCTTGGAGCTAATGCACACTGTTCCTTGCCCATGCCCATGTGTTGGCTCCTTGGGAAGATAGGAGTGACAAGTTGGATCAGGAGTGAGGCTCAGAAAAACTGATGAGGGGGAAGAGCAATAAGAAGGAAAACTGTGACGGGAATTAGAAATTCTAGGTTACTTTTGGAAAGTTACTTTATCAAGAAAGGAAAAGGGCCGTGGCTGCAATCTAATATCACTGCCTAGAGATACCACACTTTTTAAGCCTCTGAAAGGCAAACTCCTATTCATCCTGCAAGACCTTGCTTAATCGTGTTCTTCTCTGGAAAGCCTTCCTGGACCCTCTCTGACAGCTACGTGTTCCTTCCTCTCTGCTCCCACAGCTCTTCACACACACACATCTATTCTGCTGTCATTACTTTTGCAGTCATTTTACTTGTCTCTCCCACGATTTCTTTGAAGACAAGGACCGATTATCTTGTTCATCTTTGCATCCCCAAGCCATAGAGTGCCTGGCATTTACGTAGTGGTGGTTGTGTGATCACAGAGCGACATGAAAGTGCAATTTGCACTTCACCTGCAAAAATCAAATTGGTTCCTGGTCCTTTTCATGTGTGACTACGTTTTTCCTTGATTTAGAAGAAATGGCTTCAGACTCAGAGAAAACTCTATTGATATCGCTGGCACATTAGCCAGGTTTTCATCTGCACTTGTGATAGAAACATCCCCCCTCCCTCCACACACACACCCACACTTCGAAGAGGCTCTCAGAGCAAGCTTAGTATTAGTGGTAAACTGCTATTCCACCATCTCTAGTGCAGAGAAAGCGACATGACACTGGGCGCCTAAAGCTGCCACCAGGCTCCGTGAGCTGGTGATGGTGGTGGCAGCCGTGGTGGGCAGAGGGGGCATAATTAAAAGAACACACTTCCGTAGCAGACCTAAGAGGAAAGCGAGGGAGGAAGGTGAATTTAAACCTTCCTTTATTTAAAAAACAAAACAAAAAAACAACTGTTAGAAACTCACGCAAAACAGATGCTTCCTCTGGACATGACAGCCCCGATCCAAGTGTTCAGCAGTGACTTTCCCCCATGAGTGTCAGGTCCGCACCCAGCACGGAACAGAGGCCAGAGCCTTTGGGGGGCATATTGCTCCCCAAACCTGGCACACCCCGGGGCCTGCTTCTCCTTCAGGGGACTGTCCTCTCCTTCCAGCAACGACAAAAGTTCCCTGG